AAAAAAAAAAAAGATGAGAACATGTCTTCTGTAAATAAATTATGTCATTTAACAACATTGAGCATTTTGCTATGTGTTCACTGAATTTAAAAAAAATCTGAATTTCTTTATTGTTGACTCTCCCCCTCTTTAATTACTAGCAATCGCATCCTTTATAGGATTAAAAATATTTCATAGTTTAAAAAAAAAAAAATGTAATTCTCTTTCTCCTCCAACCACAGCTGCATGATTTCCTCCACTCAAGGTCTGAACTCCTCAAAGTCATCCGTGAGGAATGGAATCAGCTTCTTCCAAACTCCTGCTCAGTGAGATATTGTCACCTCCTTCCTTCCATGAATCACACTGTTCTTAATGTCATCATTTTTTCCAGAAATTTTTCAATTGACTTTGCCCAGATCCATCAGAGGAATCACTATCTGTGGCAGCTAACGTATTATAAAATATATTTCTTAAGTAAGACTTGGAAGTCAAAAATTAGCAGGGCATGGTGATGCACGCCTGTAATCCCAACTACTTGGAAGGCTGAGGGAGGAGAAATCGCTTGAACACAGGAGACGGAGTGAGCCAAGATCATGCCATTGCACTCCAGCGTGGGCAACAAGAGCAAAACTCCATCTTAATCTTAAAAAAAAAAAAAAGGAGGGGGGGAATACACGTATTTTAAAGTGCTCTAACAAAGAATGTTATGCTTATAAGTACCAACTGTTTTGTTAAGGCAATAGAGATTAAATCTAGGGACTTAATACCTGTATCAAAAGAAGGAAATGCACTTCCAAAAGATGGAAATCCACTGAACGCAGAGAAGAACGACCCCGTCCCTCGGCTTCTGCTTCCTCGGGGACCCCTTCGATTCCCCAAGAAGTCCTCAAAAGGGTCTTCTAAAATCAAACACAAACACACACGATGAAGTCTTTTTTCCAAGTTTTTTTCCTCATGGGATAGCTACAATAAGAGAAAACAGATCAATCTTTTTTAACATATTTAGTAACAAAAACTTAGAAAATGGGTGGTAACGAAAGAGCTTATTATCTACAGAGTAACTGAAATAATATCTCACCAACAGTTTTACTAGTTCAATTCAACTAAAACTACAACACATTATATCAAATAAATTAAATTAAAAACAGCACATATACACACACTTTACGGAGCATCAATATGTACTTCAAACTCAGCTCATTTCACATCACTTATCTGAGGTCCTGTTAGACGCTGAACCTGCTACAACCACTGCAAAAGTGCGAAAAGCTTCACACTGAGGCTGTTGTATTCCTTGGAGTCTGAATTGCCTTCTCCAAAGCAATTCAGAAACAAACAGAAACGTGATGACCCTGGCGCACGCGAAAGCCATGAGCCCAGGCAAAGCAAATTCCCTTCACTGTAACTCTGATGTCTCGAAAAACTCTGAAGGATTAACTACAATCAAATCTGAACAAATGTTAACCAACAGACGTTAAGATTACACTTGAAGGTGTCTCAACAGAAAATCACTGACATGAGGAAGCATCATGCTGCCACCTGGAGACAAAATGCTCCTGAAAATAAGCATCAGCACTGACCGTTTGTTTTCCTTTGCTGCTATTATCAATCAAAGAGTACTTATTGAAAATTCATAAAGTATACAAACCTTTTTACTTTACCTGGGTTCTGCATTATTGCTAGGTACTGTATTTTTTCAGAAAAATGGGAAATATGTGATAAAAGCAAAGAATTCTAATAGATAAACATTAAGACATAAATGCAGTAAAGAAAAAGGCAAGCCAGAACCAACTACAGAATCAGTATGGCCTACTTGCAGGCCGGAGTGGATACATTTGAGTCACAAACGTTATATCAATAAATACTATACAGTACACAAGGGTACAAACAGCAAGCACTGAAATTAAGCAGAAATCAAGATTTATGAAGCAACTGAGGTTTATGAACAAGAGTGACTTGATCCAGCTACTCTGGAGGCTGAGGTGGGAGGATTCCTTAAGCTCAGGAGTTTGAATCCAGGCTGGGCAACACAGCAAGACTTTGTGTCTGCTAAAAAAATTAAATGACCAGGCCTGGTACAGTGACTCACACCTGTAATCCCACCACTTTGGGAGGCTGAGGCAGGTGGATCACAAGGTCAAGAAATCGAGGTCATCCTGGCCAACATGGTGAAACCCTGTCTCTACTAAAAACACAAAACTTAGCTGGGCGTAGTGATGGATGCCTGTAGTCCCAGCTACTCCGGAGATTGAGGCAGGAGAACTGCTTGAACCCGGGAGGCAAGGTTGCAGTGAGCTGAGATCGCACCACTGCACTCCAGCCTGGGAAACAGAGCGAGACTCGGGTCTCAAAAACAACAAAAAAAATTAAGTCACTGGAGAAAAGCAGCACCTGAGGTGACTCTGCCCACAGCCGGAAAGAATCAATGTACAGGTGAACACCCAAAACCTTAGGATGCTGGGTACCCTCAGGACCTGCAATAGTAAATAGTGAGGAGCAAGGGCTGAGAAAGCTTCCAGAGGAAGGAGGAACAGAGGTCCACAGCGGTCTATTACAGAGCTCATCGAAATCAAACTTGCCAGTCGGCTTTGACCAATGCCAAGTCCAAGACACTGAGTCTGAAGAAAGCAACACTGGTCACTGGTGACTTTTTGGAAGAGATGGCCAAGAGACAGGAGAGGAAGGAGGCATGCACAGCCAGTGCCCAGACACCCCATGCCTACCTCCACCCACAAGCCAGCCCAACGGGGAGGCCTAGAGGAGGAGTGCCAGAACAGGTATGCCAACAAGACTTTGCACGACAGTTACTGATTGTGCAAGTTACTGCCTACATTCCACAGTCAATGCCCTCCCCCCAAATAAAATAATGTTAAGAGAGTCATAGGTACTTTGCAAACAGTTATTACTGCTGCCACTGTTCTATCAAAGGCAAGAACAAGGCCAGGCACGATGGCTCACACATGTAATCCCAGCACTTTGGGAGGCTAAGGTGGGCAGATCACTTGAGGTCAGGAGTTCAAAGCCAACCTCACCAACGTGGTAAAACCCCATCTCTACTAAAAATACAAAAATTAGCCAGGTGTGGTGTCGGGCACCTGTAATCCCAGCTACTCAGAAGGCTGAGGCAGAACAATCACTTGAACCTGGGAGGCGGAGGTTGCAGTGAGTGGAGATCAAGCCACTGCACTCCAACCTGGGCAAAAGAGTAAGAATTCGCCTCAAAGACAAGAACAAAAGCAAAGATGTTAAATCATAACCTTTTATGTAAAACTACGAACATTTTGTGAATTTCTCCAGGACATAAAAACTTCATCCAACTCAAATAAAATCCAAGCATTCTATTTAGTAACTTTCTAATTTACAGCCACAGCCTACGCATCTGTCAGTTAAGTACTCTGACATACCTACAACCTATCTTATCCAGGTGAAGAAACAGAAACATTACAAATACATTTAAAACTGATTATGCAGTAACTCTACATCTCCCCTAGGAGGTGACAATTTAAAAGCATTTCCTGGCCAGGCATGGTGGCACGCGCCTGTGATCCTAGCACTCTGGGAGGCCGAGATGGGCAGATAACCTGAGGTTGGGAGTTCAAGACCAGCCTGACCAACATGGAGAAACCCCCTTCTCTATTAAAAATACAAAATTAGCTAGTCACGGTGGTGTATGCCCGTAATCCCAGCTACTGGGGAAGCTGAGGCAAGAGAATTACTTGAACCTGAAAGACAGAGGTTTCAATGAGCTGTGATCACGCCGTTGCACTATAGCCTGGGCAACAAGAGCGGAACTCTGGATCAAAAAAAGAAAAAGCATTTTTTGGCGGATGCAGCAGCTCATGTCTGTAAACCCACCACATTGCGAGGCCAAGGCAGGCAGATCACTTGAGGTCAGGAGTTTAAGACCAGCCTGGCCAACATGGTGAAAGCCTGTCTACTAAAAATTCGAAAGAGTTATCCAAGAGTGGTGGTTGGCACCTGTAATCCCAGCTACTCGGGAAGCTGAAGCAGAAGAATCGCTTGATCGCCGGGCGCGGTGGCTCAAGCCTGTAATCCCAGCACTTTGGGAGGCTGAGGCGGGTGGATCACGAGGTCAAGAGATCGAGACCATCCTGGTCAACATGGTGAAACCCCGTCTCTACTAAAAATACAAAAAAATTAGCTGGGCATGGTGGTGCGTGCCTGTAATCCCAGCTACTCAGGAGGCTGAGGCAGGAGAATTGCCTGAACCCAGGAGGCGGAGGTTGGGGTGAGCCGAGATTGCGCCATTGCACTCCAGCCTGGGTAACAAGAGCGAAACTCCGTCTCAAAAAAAAAAAAAAAAAGAATCGCTTGATCGTATCAATGAGAACGGCAACTATCACGGGAGGACGTGACCTCCACTGGGCAAGGGGCTAGTGTGCTTTTTGTAGTCTGTAGGACAGTGGTATGTTAGGTGGCTATGATCTCACTCTTGTCTTCACTTGAAGATTAAGCCTGGGCTAAGGAGAGGCATATGGGTGCCAAGTTGCAAACATGGTTAATTTCGTGTTGTGGCTGACTGAGCCATGCACGGAGTTCCCAAATATTGAGCCGAACATCGTCCTTCTGGGTGATTCTGGATGGGATGAACATTTCAATCAGGAGACTGGGGAAAGCAGGTGGCCTCCTTAAGGTGTATGGGCCTCATCCAATCAGCTGAGGGCCTGAGGTCCCCACCCCACCCTGGCCTACCCCAGGGGAGGAGACTGCTCCAACCCTGACAGGTTTTTCTGGCCAGTCTCCACAGTCAGTTCTCCCCCAGGGGCAGTTTCTCTAGACTCACGCAGACTCCGCAAAGCAAAACATGTATGCTCATCTCTTTAGAAGCATCTATAAACGAGTCTTCAAACCTTAACACAACTTTGTATCCTGCAGTACGAACATTGCTTGAAACAGAGTGCATTGAGGACTAAGGTGAATTTTTTTTATATTGTCCAAATAAATTCCTATCTAAGGAGCCTGGGGAGTCATGTACTACAAACCATAAATTCTCATCATATGGGTTTTATTTAACCCTGCATGTTGTGACTTAGTTTCCAATCTGACTCTGGCATAACATTATGTGACAAAAAATCAAAATATTTTACCCCAAAATATGTTTCTTTGACATATTTTGAAATCATCATGTAAAGCGTCCTTTGTGGGGGAAAATGTGCATCTGTAAAGACTCGATTCACATAGCTAGATCTTTTTCTTCCATGCCCTCCCAATCCTGAAGAAATTAACTTAAAATCTAGCACCTTTTAAAGGTCTGCACAGGAAACATTTGTCATCCATGGTCTCTAAGGGCAGCCACTAGGAGACTTCAAAGGAACCTTCTCCACAATCTTTTAACCTCGACATTTCCTTTCTATTAATGCCAAGTCTTTAGACAACTCAACCAACTGTCAACTAGAAAATGTTTTAATTCACCAATAGTCTGGAAGCTCCCCTGCCCCACCCTTGCTTTGAGTTGTTTGCCTTTCTAGACCTAAACAATGTAATTTTATTTTTCAAGACAGGTAGCCCAGGCTGTACTGCAGTGATGCAATCTCAGCTCACCACAACCTCTACCTCCTGGATCATTCGATTCTCCTGCCTCAGCCTCCCAAATAGCTGGGATTATAGGCATCTGCCATCCCACCTGGCTAATTTTTGTATTTTGAGTACAGACAGGGTTTTACCATGTTGGCCAGGCTGGTCTCGAACTCCTGACCTCAAGTGACATGCCTGCCTTGGCCTCCCGAAGTGCTAACATTACAGGTGTGATCTGATTGATGTCTCATGCCTCCCTAAAATCTATAAAGCAAGCTGTACCCCAACCACCTGGGGCACACGTTCTCAGAACCACCTGACAGCTCGCACGTATGGTCACTCATATTTGGCTCAGAATAAATCT